CGCTCTATTGAAGGCATGTTTGTTTTTCAATCCTTGTGCGCGCGCTGAATTGCATCAGCAAAAGCGCGCACGAAAACTGTGTTCGGCCACCTTAAGCTGGTCTGTACTTTTCAGAGTTTGAACTCACAATATTTTAAATAACATCAATTTTAACAATTTATCGTGAGTAGCCCTACGTGAGCTGTGACTAAACTTTCTCCATTATCAATAAAAAAGGTCCTGGGGATAGGAATCTCTTAACACAAAGCTTTGGCAGTAAAAACAAGCTAATAAGCATTTTTAACATGCTTATCTTCCAAAGGTAATTATGCAAAGGTTAGTGCCCGCTTCATTTCATAGCAACCGTCGTTATTTTCTGTTATCCCACTATTTCTAAATACGTTTTGTTTGAAGGTTTTGGGTCAGGGAGAGTAAACTGGAATAAAAGGAAGCAATCAAGTTTCTTATCAGAAACGAAGCAAAACGCAAAGAAGACTAGTTTGTCCTCGCCTTTGAAACCAAGCTTGCTCTCCGTTTAGTAGAAGCGGTTTTAAATGCGTACTTAATATTTAACTGTTAGCTTGAACCAATGGATATTAAACGTTATGTGCCTCTTAAAACGGCGTAAGTAAGAAGCGATTTTTACCAGTCGCATATTCTCCGCTAATCGGCACATGCGTCTCAGTTCTTCGCATGGGACAACAGGTGATTTAAATGTGTTTTACATCTAACTACTCAAATCTCCTGAGCGATTATCCAGGGTTTGGGTAAACCTGGACTTACACATCAAAGCGAACAATTTCAATATGAACATTTCTTTACTGCTAGAACAAACATCTAGCTTGATATAAATCTGTTGCGATTTACACTAAGCGCCACTGATCGATGGGGGTTTATTTTGATTCCGAGAACAACTAGAACAGCTTTCAGCGATCATCATGTTTAGTTTTATAATTCTGAAAACGTCACAGGAAATTAAAGCCGTAGATGTTACTGTAGATGCTCTATGTTACGTTAGACTGCAAAACAGTCGTTTTTGGACGTTTTCGGAAGGCGCGAAGCGCCGTAAGAGCGATCCCCGCGTGTGAAGCACGCGAACCTCACACGCTCGTAGGGCGTGTAAGCAAAGAAAATTTTTTAGCGTCTCTCCCCATTCTCCCTCGCCATTTTTACATCCGCTTCAGACCTTTCGTTCGAATATTGATCGTCGCCAGCATTCGCAAAAAATACGACTGTTTTGCAATCTAATG